CATGCTGCATTAGGTTTGTTTACACCACCACATGCTGCATTAGGCTTATTTACACCACCACATGCTGCATTAGGCTTGTTTACACCACCACATGCTGCATTAGACTTGTTTACACCACCACATGCTGCATTAGGCTTGTTTGCACCACCACATGCTGCATTAGGCTTGTTTACACCACCACATGCTGCATTAGGCTTGTTTACACCCCACATGCTGCATTAGGCTTGTTTACACCACCACATGCTGCATTTGGCTTGTTTACACCACCACATGCTGCATTAGGCTTGTTTACACCACCACATGCTGCATTAGGCTTGTTTATACCACCACATGCTGCATTAGGCTTGTTTACACCACCACATGCTGCATTAGGCTTGTTTACAGCATGTTGCATTAGGCTTGTTTACACCACCACATGCTGCATTAGGATTGTTTACACCACCACATGCTGCATTAGTCTTGTTTACACCACCACATGCTGCATTAGGCTTGTTTACACCACCACATGCTGCATTAGGCTTGTTTACACCCCACATGCTGCATTAGGCTTGTTTACACCACCACATGCTGCATTAGGCTTGTTTACACCACCACATGCTGCATTAGGCTTGTTTATACCACTACATGTTGTATTAGGCTTATTTACACCACCACATGCTGCATTAGGCTTGTTTACACCACCACATGCTGCATTTGGCTTGTTTACACCACCACATGCTGCATTAGGCTTGTTTACACCACCACATGCTGCATTAGGCTTGTTTATACCACCACATGCTGCATTAGGCTTGTTTACACCACCACATGCTGCATTAGACTTGTTTACACCACCACATGCTGCATTAGGCTTGTTTGCACCACCACATGCTGCATTAGGCTTGTTTACACCCCACATGCTGCATTAGGCTTGTTTACACCACCACATGCTGCATTTGGCTTGTTTACACCACCACATGCTGCATTAGGCTTGTTTACACCACCACATGCTGCATTAGGCTTGTTTATACCACCACATGCTGCATTAGGCTTGTTTACACCACCACATGCTGCATTAGGCTTGTTTACAGCATGTTGCATTAGGCTTGTTTACACCACCACATGCTGCATTAGGATTGTTTACACCACCACATGCTGCATTAGTCTTGTTTACACCACCACATGCTGCATTAGGCTTGTTTACACCACCACATGCTGCATTAGGCTTGTTTACACCCCACATGCTGCATTAGGCTTGTTTACACCACCACATGCTGCATTAGGCTTGTTTACACCACCACATGCTGCATTAGGCTTGTTTATACCACCACATGTTGTATTAGGCTTATTTACACCATCACATGCTGCATTAGGCTTGTTTACACCACCACATGCTGCATTTGGCTTGTTTACACCATCACATGCTGCATTAGGCTTGTTTACACCACCACATGCTGCATTAGGCTTGTTTATACCACCACATGCTGCATTAGGCTTGTTTACACCACCACATGCTGCATAAGGCTTGTTTACACCACCGCATGCTGCATTAGACTTGTTTACACCACCACATGCTGCATTAGGCTTGTTTATACCACCACATGCTGCATTAGGCTTATTTACACCACCACATGCTGCATTAGGCTTGTTTACACCACCACATGCTGCATTAGGCTTGTTTACACCACCACATGCTGCATTAGGCTTGTTTACACCACCACATGCTGCATTAGGCTTGTTTACACCACCACATGCTGCATTAGGCTTGTTTACACCACCACATGCTGCATTAGGCTTGTTTATACCACCACATGCTGCATTAGGCTTGTTTACACCCCACATGCTGAATTAAGCTTGTTTACACCACCACATGCTGCATTAAGCTTGTTTACACCCCACATGCTGCATTAGGCTTGTTTACACCCCACATGCTGCATTATGCTTGTTTACAACATGTTGCATTATGCTTGTTTACACCACCACATGCTGCATTATGCTTGTTTACACCACCACATGCTGCATTAGGCTTGTTTATACCACCACATGCTGCATTAGGTTTGTTTACACCACCACATGCTGCATTAGGCTTGTTTACACCACCACATGCTGCATTATGCTTATTTACACCACCACATGCTGCATTAGGCTTGTTTACACCACCAAATGCTGCATTAGACTTGTTTACACCACCACATGCTGCATTAGGCTTGTTTGCACCACCTCATGCTGCATTAGGCTTGTTTACACCACCACATGCTGCATTAGGCTTGTTTACACCCCACATGCTGCATTAGGCTTGTTTACACCACCACATGCTGCATTTGGCTTGTTTACACCACCACATGCTGCATTAGGCTTGTTTACACCACCACATGCTGCATTAGGCTTGTTTATACCACCACATGCTGCATTAGGCTTGTTTACACCACCACATGCTGCATTAGGCTTGTTTACAGCATGTTGCATTAGGCTTGTTTACACCACCACATGCTGCATTATGATTGTTTACACCACCACATGCTGCATTAGGCTTGTTTACACCACCACATGCTGCATTAGGCTTGTTTACACCACCACATGCTGCATTAGGCTTGTTTACACCACCACATGCTGCATTAGGCTTGTTTACACCCCACATGCTGCATTAGGCTTGTTTACACCACCACATGCTGCATTAGGCTTGTTTACACCACCACATGCTGCATTAGGTTTGTTTACACCCCACATGCTGCATTAGGCTTGTTTACACCACCACATGCTGCATTAGGCTGGTTTATACCACCACATGCTGCATTAGGCTTGTTTACAGCA